TCACCAGAGATACATTCTAAAGTCTCAGTGAATCTCTAACATTGCAAATATTATTACAATGTAATGGTACCATTCATACAATGCAATAAAACTTGGTAAAAAAAATTTAAGTGCTCTTAATGACTCTATAAACATAGGATTTAAATTACTTATAAAGTTAGTTGGCTTTGTTTTTAGGGCTATCTCTTACAAAGAAACAAAACTGTTTTATTTCTCCAACATTCTTGCTTGGGGCATGACATAGGAAGCCAAAGTCCACTTTTGAGGTGGATGCCATCAGCTGTGACATGCAGTGGAGTGACTATTCCCACCACCAGGCTTCTGCTTTTGATGACTCAAGTTTATATCCAGCACGAACTACCAAATGTCACAGGCCAAGGATGGCCACCCCAGATGTCTACAGGTTCAGGCAAATGAGAGAAGTGACATGTTCATTCACACTCCTTAAGCTTCTCCATTAGGACTCTTGTCTATTTCAAGCATGGCCTTCTATATTCCTGCAACGAGCACTCATTCCAAAGCCATTCATTTCCTCTTCTTTCTTGTCTCTCATGTCCAGTGGCTGCAACTTGATTTCTGAGTTTTCTTACTACTAAGGGGAGACCACGATAAGAGTGCTGGTCAATGAGACATAGGCAGAGGTCCCAGGGAAGGGCTATGTTTTGTTCCTTCCCTTCTTACTGCCTGCACCATGTGCAAGAGGCTTTTCGACCATAAACATAAAAATCACCAAAAGATAAAACAGTAAGACAGAAGGAGCCCGTGTCTCTGACAGTTTTGTGGAGCTTCTAACTTTCTTAAGGAAACCAATGTTTTGGAATTTTCTATTACATGCAGCTGCAAGTACTAGTGACCACTGTGAGCACAAGTGGTCACAGTTCTTCCCATGAATTATTTCATAGTGGAACATTAAACTAGATTCTTTCACTCTGACATTTTTCCCCTGTTAAACACACATAGACTTTCCATTAGAAATATCTAACCCATCCCAAGTTTTTTTCCGATAGACAAATAACCTTGGTCTATTTATCTTTCCCATATTTTGAGAAGAAAAACCATAACTTAAAAAAATACAGGGGAAGATGATAAATGCTAGCTGACCCTCTACCTCCGCATTGGAGAGAAAGCAGAAAATGAAGAGAACTGTGGAAATCTGGGGGCTTCACACCCTATCCAAACAGATCTTTGGAACAGGATTCTGGGTCCAATAGTGTCTGTGTTTTCTAAGAAAAGAAACATTTGATTCTTCAAGAGAAGCTGGAAATGTAGATATATCCTATTTTTACAAATTTCTTGGCAACCAATTTAAGCATCTTTTAAACATTCTACGAACCACCACCATGCAGAATTACTAAAAGGTGTATGCCTAGATGACCAGGCTTGTGTAGGTTTGTGTTTCTTACTGTGGTCCAGGGGAAGCTCAATGAAACTGTACACCTAAGAACAAGAAGTCTACCACACTAACTTACACTACCATATTTCACCTACAAAATCTCAGCTCCACAAGTCAGCTGTAGGCAGCCTACAACAAAGAAACAGCTTGTATTTTTTTTTTTTTTTTTTACATTCCTTAGAACACCTTTCTGTGGATGGCTACAGAGCAGACTCCCTGTCTGTTGGGTCTTTGTAGGATATTTGCATCAATATCTCATATTCTGGTGCCCAAAATGATGTGTACTTATAGAACATTAACAGAGGGCACAACACTATGAGAAACACAAAATTAGTGTGGGAGAAACAAAACAAAACAAAACAACACAAGAACAGTATAGATGACACTACTGCAAACCCCCACATTCAAACGAAAGAGACTTTGTTCTCAAGACCTAGCAACCTGGTAAAACAGCAACCATTCTCAATAAACACAGGGAAGTGAGCGTTGCACAAAGGATATGTGGATACCCTGAGGGAATGAGAAGCAGAGTGTTACTACTCTGGGAAGCCTTTGTGCAGGGTGTGAACCCTAAACTGGGTCTTGAGCAGGAGAACCCGCTGGCTGGCGATCCCAGCTACCCAAGCCCAGAGCCCTCAAGGAATGAAAAACCTTTATCCTATGTGAACATTGTGAACCTAGACTGTCTTTCCTGAGACACAGTGAAAAATCATCTCTGCACGGATTGTTTATTTGTATACGCACAGCATATTTTGTGACAGGTTAGGTGAAAATGGAAAATGTGAATGCTGAGAAGATGCCAGATATGTTTGTTAAACATTAAAGTGATTTCTATGATAATGAATGCATGCCTACCGAGCTGTGAAAATTTTGAGTAAGATGAATTACCAAGTACCTTGGTGCATTTAACAACCCTGGGATGTTATGAGGGCCGGGAAGTTAAATATAATGCTGTACATCGAACATCCAGCCAAGCGCCCGAAGAATGTGGAACGAAAGCTAAGGGAGCCACACATCTTTAGAAAAATCTCCAAACTTGACCAACAACATGTGCATGCTTGATTCCTCAAGTTTCAGCAGGCCAAGAGCCAAATTTTCTGAATTCATTTCATACCTGTGATAGCTTCCAAAACTAATACCTCTTGCTTTTGTTTTGGTACACAGTAGTCATGGATTATATCATGACTAGAATGATAAGATGAAGTGAAAGCCAGAAATGGACAGGGCAGCTGTTGAATTCACAAGTAGGGTCCAGCTAACCTCAGAGGTGCTAGTTCAAAAAAATGAGTACTTAGAATGAAAACTTAGGGGAATGCAAATGAGGTTTGAGTAGGTGCTCTGCTGGATTTTCCATGCTATGAGCTGCATGGGAGCCCAAAGAAATGTGAATGGTGTACGTGTTTTCCCCAAGAACCCTAAAACATGGGCACTTCAAATGAAATGGATTTGCAAAGGAGATGGACATCTAGTTTCAGGTTCTGGCTTCATTACATTATGCATTAGCTGTATGATCTTGGGCAAATTTCTCAACCTCATTGAACTTTAGTGTCCTTATTCATAGGACGGGGCTGGAACATCTTTTTTTTTGTCTTTTTGAGGCAGGGTTGGAACATCTTAATCCAGAGTGTTACTGCAGAGTTCAGCGAGACAACACAGGAAGAGAGCTCAGTACAATATCTCAGTGGTGATGGCAACTTGGCATTACGGAAAAGACTGAAGTACTTCCTACACAATGGCTTTATTATCCAGGCAGATGGTGCAGGGGAGGAAAGTTTCCTTGTCACCCTTAGGTCTCCTGGACAGGCCTGAACACAGAACTAACAAATACAGATTAACAAGAGAACATATGCAAATATATTTAGTAAAAGTGTTATGCAATACAGATCCTTCAGAAACAACAACCAAAAAACCAAGTGAGTGCTGTCTACATTCAGTGATGAGTGGACAACCACACAGAAATGTCACTGCAATAAAAGGGTTTAAAATAATGCTGATAGGCCGAGGGGAAAACCCAGTAGGTGTCTGTCCAGATTCTCCTCGGCCTCTCTGTGTGACACTCCTGTGCCTTGGGTGTGGGGTCTTGGTGAGTATAGAACCAGGTTTGGCCTGGTGTGGCTTTGTATGTTTGGGGCCTAGAACTGTGTCTGCCCTTGGATTAAATACATTACTGGATGGCTTTCCTGGGAATTTAGTGTAGAACTGGAAAGGGACATCATCAGAGCCCTGGATCCAGGGGCCTAACAGGGTAGAGCTGAGCGTGATCATAAAGGTCATGCAGTCCACGAAGTTATGGAAGAAGAAACCGACTTGCCTCTACAGGTGCTCTGACCCTCAGGTGGTTGCTAATAGGAGTAGCACCTGGGAAGGGTTGGCTAGTGTTACTCATCTTTTAGAACAGTTCTTCTCTCCTCCACCCTCCACCCTCCCTCACTGGCTAGCATTTCTTTGCCACTGCTGGCTAAGGCAGCCCAATGGACGCAGAGCAGATGGGTTAGAGCCCAGGCTTCCTGCAAGAGGCACACTGTCTCCAGGGGCAGGTGGCTACCATCTAGCCTGGGATGGTTTTGATACAATTTTGCCTAAAGAAGAAAGAATGAGCAAAGATGATTTTCTTAGGATGCTGCTAATAATACTGAAACCAGAATTTAACAAACAAACAAACAAAGTAATTCCTCTTTAAGAAGTGGAAGAAAAATGAGTAAACAAGTCATTTCCTTTGGGAAGCACATGAAACTAGTCGTTGTATTTGAATCTATGCCTCTTGAGCTACCCTGTGCTTTCTAGAAAACAATTACATCAGAAAATTTCATTAATTTTATGTCTTTGGGTAATTTGCTGATTCTAATTGTCTTTGAGAGCTGGTGACTGCAGAGACTTTGTTGATAAGCTCACAAATGAAAATAGCATTTTCCCAGGGTGATGAAATGTGATTGAATTATTACTCCAATTTTTAATAACTCCAGAATGTTCGCACTTTGGGAGTGCAGCTACTGATACAGGTTGCAAGATGGAAATCACACAAGAACGAAGGAAGCACCAGGGTATTGACAAGAGAGGCCCATCGCATCTGCACAGAAATAACAACAAAAATAACAAGAATACCAGCTTCTGTCGGCCAAAAGCCAGATAGCATTTCACAGTTTTTGTGTGTTAACTCTCGGAGGTCTCATGACAGTGCTATGAGGAAGGTGCTGCTGTTATCTCCAGTTTGGAAATGTGGAAGCCAAGACACAGAGGTGGACAAACTTGTCTGCATTCACACAGCCAGTGCACAGGGGAGCTAACCAGGGAGGAACTTCTGCCCCTCTGCTTGCAGTGCTTACAAATTGGATTCAACTGTCTCGAGCTGAGCTTTCATCCTTCCCAACACACATCAAATTGAGCCACACAGCCACCATTTTCATAAATCAAAACCATTGACTATTAGCAGTTTTATGTAGTTCAACCTGAGAGCCCAGGCGTTATTTCTTATTAGGACAATCAACATTTTGTTTCTCTGGTCATTGCCACCTGTTGAAGTACAAGGGAATGACCAAGAAGATTCTATCGGGATGGGTCTCAGGATTCTTGCCTAGAATGTTAGGACAGAGGGCTGTCATGTCCAGAACTCCAGTAGCTCTACAGTAGCTTACAACTGAAACCTATCTAGGAGGTTTCTTTGTTTCTTATCCATAACCAAGAAAATCACAAAGTGTAAAGTTTTGTGATTTCCACGACTGAATAACTCATGCTAGATGAGTCAATTCATCTTCCTTTTACTTTGAGATAATTGGAACTAATCTGATCCCATATCTGCCATTCTTGAGAGACAAAAGGGATTTCATGTCATTTTACAACTGACATGAGTGATACAAGAAGCCAGAAATGGCCAATGACCCTTTAAATCCAAGGCCTTTGACTCTTCAGCCAGTAAGTATACAATTCTCTTGCCCTTTTACCTGCAATCCTTTCAATTTCATCTTTGCTGCCTTTAAAGGGATATCTGTATGACAAGAAAGTACAGGGGCAAGGGGTGTGTCTTTTTATTGCTATCAAGACCATTGTAAAGTGAGATAGCAGAGGCATAGGCAAAAGAACTGGAAGTTTATATAGAACAGTAAACAGTGATTATTACATCTAAAGGAGGCTTATGCAGGAAAAGTAGGGAGTCAAAGGCAGTGTCCAAGTCTTTATTATGAACTCACTCTGAAATTTGTAATTGTTTCTATGCAAAGTTTCCCATTTGGAATTGGCATCCACTTGTATTTCCCTTCAGTTCATGGGATGCACTGGGAATTAAGAGAAGACAACAGCAGTACTGTGCTTGCCTCCCAAATGTAGTCATTGTTGGTCGCAAGTCCTTTAAATGAGTTAAAGAAAACCAAAGCAAATTTCTAAGATGGAAATGATTGTCTCAATTGCTTACGGGCGTTGCTTTGCTGGTAATTGATGACTACTCTGTCTAGGAATATAGAGATTGTGTATTTCAGTGGTAATATGAGGAATGTTCTTTGATCAGACGTGATTTAATTATAGGCTCAAGGACTTTAGAATAGGAAGGAGAGTCTTTCAATATTATTCCACTGAAACTGTGTTAGTAACCACGTCGTATTCAAAACACAACTGGTTCCCAGAGGGATGTTTTATTTCTGGTGGTCGGTGGGGGTGGGAAATTATGGTAAAAAATCCCCTGGAATTTACTTGTTTAAATTTATTTTCAACCAATCAGAGTCCAATAGGTTGAGAGGCTTTAAGCTTGGAACAATAGGGCTAAGTTTCCTGAGAGTCTCCCTTTGCAGTGGGCCCCCACTGTACCCAAGACATGCTTTTGTCCTGGAGGTGGGCAATTTCAGTTTATTAAACCCCCTGGCTTTCCTGTCTGTTTATCCATTAGAAATCGTCTCTTAGGACTGAAGTGAGGTGGAAGATGTTGTCATGTGTTTTAGATCTGGGGGTGAATGAAGAGATAGATACCTGAGCAGGTTCAAGGTAGTCTGGACAATGACCAGCCATGTGCCTGATGGCCACAGCAGTTGGCAAGAAGGAAGCTCTAGAGTCTAGACCCTCTGAGCTGCACATAGGAGTGCAAAGCACTGTTCCTTCCAGTGAGGTAGGAAACCCCAGAGGGGATAATGAATCAAAGTACACAATGTTCAGGATCCTCCTAGCGGGTGCAGATCCTCTTCTCCAGCACACTCTTGAAAGCTTTTGTACGCTGTCTGGTACAAGTGAACTTCCAGGGAAGCTATTTAAGGTAACTGTCTGAGAAGATACGAATGAAGCCTGAGCAGGGCTCCACCCAGCTGGTCTTGGAGACAGTGGGAAGTGGTTATAAGCCTCAGAAATTTGGAAAACATTGTCTGACTTTCATCATGTTTTGAAATTTTTCCAGAATCAAGAAAATAGTTATGAGCTCTGATTTTATGTCTTGGAGAACTAGGAAAATGTAAATTGCAGTTTTATTGTGTCAAAGTCAGAACCCATTACAGTCACAGCATGAAGCCAGTTAGGCCTTGTACTAGTCAGGTTTCCTAATGCTGGGATTGAATATCTAATACCACAATTTAAAGGAGAAATAGTTCAATTTGGCTTCTGGCTTCAGGGGATTCAGTCCAGGGTCCCTTAGCTCCAAAGCAGAAAAAAACATTGGGAAGGGTGTAGGAGAGAAAAATTGCTTAGCTTATGGCAGCTAGGAAGCCAAACAAGGAAATAGTGGCAGAGAGAAAAGTTAGGGTCCATTTATGATACTGAAGGTCATACTTCTTTTTTTTTTTTTGGTCTTTTTGAGACAGGGTCTCACTATACAGTTCAGGCTGGCCTTGAGATCACTTTGTAGCCCAGGCTGGTCTCAAACTTGCAATGATCCTCCTAACTCAGCCTCCCAAGTCCTGGGATTACAGGTGTGTACCACCATGCCTGGCATAAGGTCACACTTCTTAAAGTACCTACCCACACTCAGGTATGTGCTTTACAATTCTCCAGGTGGCTCCCAAGTGAATCAAGTTGCCCAGTGGTGGTAAACCTTTTAGAGACAAGTGCCCAAACTGTAACCCAGAACCCACTTATTTATTGCAAAGTGCCAACATTGAAATAAAACCTGAATACTGAGGTTTTAGTTTAGAAAAAAATAACTCGTACATTAACATCTTTTGCCTCAAAAAAGGCCAAATAACACACATGCCATAGGTTCACTACCACTGAAGTTGCCAGTCCACTTTAACTGTCACAGGCCTCACTACCAGGCAACAAGATGAGAGGCATAGACAGCACTTGGTAATGAGAGACTGCTTCTGTGTCACTGGAATTCAGTTCCAAAGCTGAAATTTACAAGCATAAGTAGTGCTACTGATGTCAGGTACATTGTCTGAGATGCAAATACTTTTAAGAGAGCAGTGAGGGGAAGATTCCAGAACTTTCCATATTAGGGCAGACTACAGTTCCTCATGACAAGGCATTTGTCCCATAATTCTCAGTGGCTCTGCATGGCCTGTGGGAGAACTAGAACCTTGTAGTATCCCCAGGTGGCTGAGAAACCATCATGTCACCTTCATAACAACAACAGCTGCTTTTTTTAGGGCCCACTCTGTGTTTAATACTGTGGAACAGATTTGTGCACACTCTCTGGTTTATTTCTTATAGTACCTTATGGTGTAAACATTATGTTCTCTAATTTACAGATTGCCTAAGTGACTTTCTGCCTCATAAGAAGAAGCGGAGCCAAAAGGCAAACATGGGCAATGTGACCCCCTGAGCCGGAGTGTGGAAATCTTCCTGCACTGCGCTGGGTGAGAAGCCTTTGGGCGCTCTAAATTTGAGGCCATTCTGAGGATATTGTTAAGTCCTGAGTCTGTCAACCTGTGTGACAGTACAGGCTTGGGTCAGATGAGAGGGAGTCTCCTAAAACTCACGTACAAGGTAAAGGAGACCTTGCGGCTGCATTTCAGCAAAGCCCCAGCTGGCCCTGGTGTGCCTGTGTTCCTAGGTGTTCTCTGCTCGCTGCAGAGTGGGCTTCAGGGAGGTTGGCCTGCCGTGCACACCAGCCTGCAGAATGCAGAGCCCTGTTCTCTGAGACAAGGGGAAGTGTCTGTGACCGTCTCCTGTTCAAGCTTTGCACCTCCCTGCAAGATCTGTGTTTTCCCAGCCTGTGATCACTCACCCAGGCCAAAGTGGTTCTTGTAAGATCCTGAGTGTTGCCAATAAGATAAGGAACTGCTATCAGATTTCACCCATGAAAGTTCTTCCTCCCTTTTTGCACTCTAGGATTGATGTATCTTGACCTTCAAGATAGGGAGACGAAGAGATCATGAGGAGGGAAATTTATAGGCCTACTTCCCAGGGCAATTTCTAATGTGTAGCCGTAAATATTTTCAAGAAGGATAAAAGTGGTTACTCTAACTGCCCAGCACATACCACAAGGGCCCTGGAAGCAGAGAGGTGGGGCCTGCCAGGGAGTGTGAGCAGACCAACCCCACTGGGCAGCAGAGACAGCCGAGAGCTTCCTATGTGTCCCAAGAGGGAGGAGGGAAAGGGGGCGTGTGGCTGTTGAAGGTGCACCCCCCAATTTGTTCTTGATCTCCCCAGACATGCATGCTCTTTGCCAGCCTGGATCTATGACATCAATTTCCATTTCTCCCCATCCCCCAAGCAGTGAGCAACAAAAGAAAGACATTCTAAGAGCCCATGAAATGTTTTTATTGAGACCCTGTTCTCCAGAGAGAGATTGAGGAAGCGATTTAAGCAACATTATTATAAAATAAAAAGTACCTTCCTCCTCCCTGACAGGAAATGTGAGAAAGAGAGACAAGCTCATAAAAAAACACTAAAAAAGTTTTCCAAAACACTGGAACAAAGAAGAGACATTAAATCATTAGGTACAAAAGAAGCAAGCACAGCAGGAGACTCAAAAAGGATTTTTTAAAAAAACTGTATATACGCTTGCCTTCCTTAGAGATTATGCATCGTATTTCAAATATGCTAATTACAAAGATTCATCAAGCTGTGTGGACTAGCTGGGAAGGAATCCTTTATATATAACATGATAGTTTCTGAGCTCTCCTGACTTCTTACACTGACAGAGTTAGGGGTATATTTGGCAATGCTACTACAAAATTTTCAGGTGCTTCATATTTGGTTTGTATAACACTTGAATGATACATCATACTTTGATGGCATCTAAATACATCTGCTTATTAATGAAGCTAATTGGAACACAGACACAACATAATACAGTTACACTTCCAGATTAATTTGCCACCCCCTACCCTCACTGGACTGAATATTCTGCTGAAATCATGACAAGGCAATGCTGATCTGCGGCTTAGGGAACTTTTATTTTCCCCCATTCGGTTTGGCTTTGACATGGGTCATTGATGTCTAACCTTTCAGTAGGTCTCCTAAGCATTTCAACACTGAAGGATTCAGTGAATTTTTTTACATGGGATATCTACCTCGTATATTTTAATGTATAGCTGCTTGGAGATTCTGCCCTAGAATTGGTTGAGACAGGCATAAGTGCTTGAAATGTCAAGATACTTCAAAGCAAGCCTTTCATCGGAAGGGCCTTCTAATAAACATTTCTCCCACTGGGCTTGGTTTCCTTTGTGGGCTCTGGGAGCACTGCTTTTCTCCCTGTGGGTCATACAAGTCAAGAGTGCATGGGGGAGACAGGCCTCACCCGTCCCCTCTAAGTGCCCACCTGTGGGAAGTGGAAACTGCGTCAACTAGTTTCAAATGGGGTGGCCCATGAGTGGTGGTCAGGGGGTCAAGAAGTACACAGGTGGCCCCCTATTTGTGTGGTTGGGGATTAGCAGAGAAGGGGGAGAGAGGACGAGTGAGTGAGTTTGGGGGTGGGGTAGTGGGACAGTGTGGTAGAATAGGGGTTTCCTTTGTGGAAGGAAGTAAGTAGGAAAGGTAGACCTAGGATGTCATGTAGAGACATGGCAGGTCCGTGGATATAAGGTCTGGTCTTATTTCCTACTTTGAATCTCTGGAGGGGCCCAAACAAGCTCCCACAAAGCTTACCTGCAAATGTTTGGTGCTCTGGTGGCACCCACAGTATTTAGGTACAGAACACGCTTGGTGTGTGCATCCCCCCACATCTCAAAACCTGGGACAGAATAGGTGCAGAACCTGAGCAAGATTTAAATGGCTCACTTTTGCTCTTAAGAAGCTTTTAAGATGAATAAACCCCCATAAAAATCAAGGTAGCAAGCGGTATTATTTCTCAAGGCATGTTTGAGTCAGAAAGAGCCTGAATTTTAAAAATACAAAGTGCTGCCTTGCTTAATATATCCAGTCCTCTAACAAGCCGCCAAGCAGCTATTGTTCTCTCTTAAGCCCATGGACATATATCTTGCTGAGAGATGTGGGTCCAAAGTCAGGATACTGCCCGGGAAACTTGAGCCTACAGCCTGTGCAGGAGCCGCCACCTCTGTGTAATTCCTTCCAGAAGAATAGGAACCCAGGCTGGGGCAGCAGCAAGAGTTCCCCAAGGACACATTGCCACTTATTTTCAGTGTGATTATTTTCCACTACACACTGTGAGAGGGGCATTTTTTAATGCTATCTTTCTGTTCATATCCTTTCATTTAGTGTGCCCTGAGAGACGGTCAGAGTGTCCAGGCTCACTCTGCAGTAAGAACTCAGCAAGTCTGAAGGACAGAGCATGAAGCTTCCCAGACAGCCAGGGAGTTCTGCTGACAGGACTAAACTCCAGGCCTTTACCTAGCATCCCAGGCAGGTGTGTTTACTAAGCAAAAGGGAAGTGGGAATGTCTCCTTTGAGGATGGCTTCTCTTCCTCCTGTGGGCCAAAGACATTGCTTGTTTTCCTCCTTGATTATGTTGATTCCTAACAGTACAACTTCTGCACTGATCTCCAACTTTGCCAGATTCTAGGGCTCTGCTTGGATTTTGGGGTGACTTCCCTCAGGATCCTCTGTGATACTGCAAGCCAGGGACAAGTCCTCTGGCATGGTTGGTTTATCCTTTATGAAATGTGGTCTAAGATCAACATCTTTCCCCTTGGAGCTTTTCTCAGACTGTCCCTGAGGACAGGATGACAGAAAACAGCCACATATCTGGCCCCAATTTATAAGTGCAAAGCAGGCTCAGAACCTATTCATAGCAAAACAACGTTTTCCCACCAAAACGCATCTTAGATCCAATTCTGTATGAAGTGGCCTAGAGGTTGATCCATGAAGCTTCCAGTGTTGCTGAGGATGCTCCTATTTCTCTGGGTCAGGACAGTTCAGTACATTTTAGAAAATCCCTCAGTTGCATTAAAATCAAAGGTTCTGAATACTTCCAAGCATCGGACTCACCGGGGCTTCTTAAAAATGGCTTATTAGGCATCTATTGAAGAGCTTCTGAGTGAATATGTCTTAGGTAGGACCAAAAGTTTGTAGTTATAAATAATTCCCAGGGATACCCTCATCTTAGTCCATTCTGGCTGCTGAAACAAAGCAGCCATATATCAGTTGTCTTAGAAACAATAGTAGTTTATCATACCAGTAGTTCTGGAGGCTGGGGAGTCCAAGGTCAAGGTGCTATTTAGTGAGGGCCATCTCACAGACAGCTAGCTGCTCACAGGCAAAAGCACAAGAAATCTCTTTAGGAACTCTTTTATAAGGGTATGGAGCCCTCATGATCTAATCAGCTCCCAAAGGCCTCACTTCCTACTATCACAATCTTGGGAAGTGAGTTAGTACTTCAACATATAGATTTTAGGAAAAAATGTTAGCATAGCACACCCAAAATTAATGTCCTGCCTGTCATCTCAAAAGAAGAATTTATTAGGAAATAAGAGGTGGCAGAAGTAATTAGATACAAAGTCTTACTTGAGTAGGGTCAGTCCTTAATCCAATTTGACTGATATTCTTACAAGAATGGAAGAAGACATCTAAAAACAGAGACACAAGGAAGAGCACTGTCTTCGTTACTTTTCTGATTGCTGGGACAAAATACTTGACACCCACAAGGTAAAGGAGGAAAAGTTTATTTCAGCTCACAATTTGTAGAGGCTTCAGTCCATAATTATCTGGCTCCAAGGCAGGGTAGCATGGGAGAGGAGAAACAGTCCATGGCAGGGGAGGTAGGAAGCAGCAAGCAAGCAAGGCAAGCCTCCTTTTCCCTTTTGTCCCACCCAAGCTGCAAGCCTTTTGGGTAGGGCCACCTACACCCAGGGTGGGCCTTCCCATTTTTCAAATGCTAAACCAATCAGAGGACTAATTGAGCACCCTTAATCCCAGTATCACACACCCTATATCAAGCCAGCTCTGAAAAGTCCCACCTTTGATCACATGAGGCCTTGAGGCGACATTTAGGTACAGACTATATAAAGTATCATGTGACAACAGAAGCAGTGACAGGAATGATGAGTATATGAACTAAAGAATGCCTTTGACTTCTATTTGCAAGTTCTAAGAGAAAACTAAGAGAAAATAATGGAACAGGTCTTTTCCTGGTGACTTCAAAGAAAGCTGCACTGTAGCCTGGACTTCAGACTTCTACCCTCAGGCACAGTGTGAAAATAACTTCTTATTGTTTCAAGTCATCAGATTGTAAGAGTTTGTTCCTGCAGCCCTAGGAAATTAACACACCAGAGATGCTGATATTGGTGACCTTAGAATCACTTTGAGAATCACTGTTCAAAACCAATTAGCTCATCTCCTTCTTCCATCCCTAATTTCCCTTAGAACACCCATGATAACTTTTTTTCTGAAATAATTCCTACTTGCATCTGCCAGTGCCTGCTTAATTCCCTAAGAAGAATTTTCACCAGCTCCTGGTTTCTTAATACTTTCCTATTTCTAGTTCCTGATCTTTTTACCCCTCATTGCCCCGTAGGGCTCACTTGTGCTATGTTGTGGTCAGAGAGGATCTCCTGATGGAGAATTGTTACTTCAGTTGTCTAGAGTTTCTTGTACTCTAGCAAAGGCTGAAGACATGGGTAGCAGAACCATCACAAGAGCCGTCGGGGAACTGGAGGGATGGGGTGGAAGCGAAGGGATTTTGGCTCCAGGAAGACAAGCATTAAGAGGGATTTATCTGCCTTCAAATATATGAAGTGTTACTGTGCATTCTGCACAGACTGCCGCCATCCCGTCCCCTCCGAGAACAGCCCAAAGGAAGGTAGGCTTAGGGAGGAGAATTTTGTGTGGACAGAAGGAATTTCTGGTGGAAGGTTTTAAGTCACTGGAATGTCAAGGGAGAAGTTTAAGTAAGAGCAGTCACCTCTTCATTAAATTTGATTTAGACAAGGCCTTTTGAGGAGCCAGGTGAATGGATGAGGTAGACTTGGGAGATGCTTTCTGCTTTTTTTAGTTTATGAACTTGCAAAAGAAGAAAAAATGTCCAGTTGGGAAAAAATTAACTCTACGGAAGAAAGAAATCTTTCTCTGCTGATATGGTTGTGACCTCAGACAGAGAATCTGTCTGCATTTCTTCATTCATGTTTTTAACTGAATGCCTAGAAGATACCTGTTTGTGTTCAGCAGTTAGATTAGTAGATTTGATTTTTAATCCCTTTCGTGTCTTCTAGTCTTTAAAGTCTGATTTATCTATCTGGAGGATGACAAAAGCAGTGCATTCTTGTTTTCTATTACTATATCCAAATTATCACAAACATAGCAGCTTTAATTTTTTTTTTTTTTTTTTGTCTTTTTGAGACAGGGTTTTGCTATGCAGTTCAGGCTGGCCTTGAGCTCACTTTGTAGCCCAGGCTGGTCTCAAACTTGCAGTGATCCTCCTGCCTCAGCCTCCAAGTGCTGAGATTGCAGGCATGCGCCACCACACCCGGCTGTAGCAGCTTTAAACAGCACATATTTATTACATCATAGCTTGCATGAATCAGGAGCCTGGACATGACTCAACTGGATCCTACCCCAGGGTCTCAAAAGGCTGCCATCAGGGGATGAGTGACCGTTCTGGTGCTAGGGATCCTCTTTTAAGCTGCATGAGTCAGCAGTTTTCAGCTTCTTTTAGCTGAAAGGCTGAAGTCTCCACTTTGCTCGCTGGCTGCTGTGGGTAGTTCTCAACATCAGATGTCTGCCCTCTGCTTCTCAGGCCCTCACGCAGTGTGGTACTTACTTCTTCAAGATCAGCAGGAAAATCCCTCTGTGACATAAACACATTCTTTGCAACCTGCAGGCTTGTCGCGGGTCCCATCCGCACGGAAGCGCAAGGATTGTGCACAGGTGAGGCTCACGGATGCTTTTGCTCTTCCCAAAGGCCCATCTTCAGGTGAGGATGGAACCTAAGGGCTTAGACTGTATGTGGAACTTACCTCATTGCAGAAATGTAGCAACAGAATTGCAAAAGGGAATGCAGAAAGTATGAATGATCCTATTTCACACACTAGTTGTATTCCAGATCCTAACCATTAGAAATTAAGTTCTGTAATGTGGGAAGATATTGAAATCAGTGATTCTCTATTCCCTCTGTTTCTTTTCTGGCAATCTAGCATAGAAGGTAGAGCTTGGAGTCAGCCTGCCTAGGTTCACCTCTTCGCTTTGATATGAACTGTGTAATCTTGAGCAAGTTACTGAGCCCTTCTGTGCTGTTTTCCCCATTTAAAAGTGGCGAAAATCCTGGCTCTGGCCTTGTGAGTGGTGGTGAGCATGGGATGAGTTCATATATGTAAGTACATAGCTAGTACCAGCTTGGCTCAGCAGAGATGCACACTGTACTAGCTATTGCATATTTTGGTCAGGACATCAGGTATCCTGTGCCACCCACTTCTATGATACTTCCATGGGTGTTCTTTGGATTTCTTGGCTTGTAGCTACGGCTCTGCACCTTTCTCCTGTACTCAGGCGAGCGTTTCAGAATGTAAAGAAAACATGCTTTCTTCTGGGGGTAAGTTTGAAGAATGATTTTTAAAGAGTTATTTATAAATTTCAGTATTTGACACTGAATAACAATAGTGACAGGTGAGATTTATTGAGCATTTACTGTGAGTGTAGTTCTGCTCAGTGCTGTGACCTGATCCTTATAACATAACAGTTGATCCTCATAACACCCCCAAAGAAAGGTGCTATTATCTCTTTGACAGAGGAGGAATCTGAGGCTTAGCTACTTACCCAACCCAGCTCTCTAGTAGTGAAGCCCAAGAAGGAAATGAATGGCAGCATCTGGACTTCAGAACGATTCTCCCTACGCTGTACCATTTTCCCATTTTATTGCTGGCAGCTCATCTCTTGACTTACATGTTGTGACGCTGCAGTCAGGGAGTACTGATGTGAATGACACAAAAGGAGCAAGGTACTATGGGTTTGTGTTTTCTTGCTTAACAAGGTGGCCACAGCAAAGGCAGAGGAGGTAAACCACTCAAGATCCACACACCGGATGAGTGTTTGCCATGTGTCGGCCCTGGGCGGCGTTCCTCACTCATCACTGTCTCTTTCAACCCTCCTACAACGCCATGGAGGGCTGTTAGTGCCTTTTTTTTTGCAGACTCTGAAGTTGCTAATGAGAAGTTGACCCGAGTCAAACTTAAAGTCTCTCAGACGCTGCAACGTGCACTGTTCTCACTGCACAATGCTATCCAACATCGTGTGTCTTGGCGGGGAAGGAAAGAACCAAGGCGGCACAGTGCTCTCAGAAACGGTGGGGAGAGAAGTTCTGTGGGGCTCAGTGGAAGGGAAGCAGCAGGGGGCCCCATCAGCCCAGCCTGGGCTTGTTGCATTTCTGATGGATTTGACGCAAAGGGCTTTCTGGAGGCCCAATCCTTCCAGGTACTG